TAAAGGTCCATCCCTAAAGAGAATAAACACCTCTATCGACAACATATGAGGTGTGAATTCGAATCTCTGACTTTTTTTTGAAGATGTATGTTTTTAGACAATTGATTTAGGTTGTGGTTGACAAATTTATTAATTCATGTTATTTATGCATGCTCACTCATAAATTAAAAAATTGTACTTCATTTGCATAGCTAATAACTTATCTAATTTACCAACATAAATATAACTCAACTCTATATGATATCTACTATCTCTCTTGAAGTCGCAAAAGAAAGAATCATGTTATCTTTTAGATGCATTACAAAATAGGGGTCATAATCAATTCGTCGATGGAAAAATGTGATGAATTCGAGAACCTTTAACTCGGTCCAGACTAATGTAAATACTTAATATAAAAAAATATGTCTCATATGCACTAGTGTTAAAAGTGACTATTCATCGTGAATTTAGGATAGATAGATTTAATAAGATACATGATTATTTAACTTATTGGCCACTTTGACATTAGTCGATGTAGTATAGTGGTAAGTATTCCCGTCTATCATGCGAGTGACTTGGGTTCGATCCCCGGCAACAGCATTGCTTTAAATTTTGGGAAAAAAAATCTCTAATTCAACTTGAATATATCAAAGCTCATGCACCTCAACTTTTATTATTCTGGAAAGAAAAAGAACTTACTCCATTTAAAGTAGTTGTTGGAAAATATAGACCACTAAACAGTACAAATATGTGGGAACATCTCAATAAAACAGTATTTTATTTGACTATGGAGAAAAAATTAAGAAAGTTTGTTGTTGAATTTGGTCTCTGTCCTTAAATACTTTCCTAACAAAGCCAACAAAAGAACTGTTTTATTATCATTTTCCAAATAGTACGTCTTTTTCCTTTAATTTTTCCCTCTCCAATTAAATTAATTAATCATAAACATGATAATCATGACTTTTTATTTTAACAACTTTGATTTGATGTAAACCGAATAATGTCACCTCAGGAGTCATCAAATTACAGAATAAAAATGACATCATTACTGAATATGGCGGATTTTTATAAATACGGAAATATCAATTTATTAATTTAATAACATTAAATATGAGTGACCTAAATTTTACCAAAAATATCCGTGGTGTAAAGTTTAAAGGAACAATTAGGTTTTTCCGCTATTAACTTTATAACTAGTTGTTTGTCTAGAAAAAATGTCTAATGGATCTTCATACTTTTTTATTTTATGTTTTATAGGTTTTCAACTTAAAAAGTGTGTAATAAATTCTTAAATATTTTATTTTATGTCTTACGGATCAATTCGACATTTTGTAAAATTTTCGGATCTATTTCAACTCTTTTAAATACAAGTTTTAATTTTATGTCTAATAAATTTATTAATTAAAAAATTTAAATAGGTCAAGACTTATTAAATACAAAATTAAAAATTTTCTTAATATCATAATTTTATGTCTAATACATTTATTAATTAAAAAAATTTCAAATAGATCCAGACTTATTAAATATAAAATTAAAAATTTCCTTAATATTTAGAGATTTGTCAGACAGGTTAAAGTTCAATAATTTAACCAAAAATTTGACAAAATTAGAGAATTAAAACTATTTAAGTATGTAGGTGACCATAGTCTTGAAAACTTAAAAAGGTGATGTGGATAGAAAAAATTGACTCTATTGACTCTTCTTCATTAATTCTTCTCCAACTCGATAATTGGCATATACCTTCAACCATGAAGTTATGAGTTCGATTCCCACCCCCATATGTTGTACTAAAAAAAAATTCTTCTCCAACTCGGTACAAATATAAAATTTGAAATAAGAACCGAATAATATTTCTATTCTTATCTTTTATTTATTGTTTCTCGTCTTCTCTTTTTTAATAAATGATAAAGAAACTAATTTCATAGTACCTTATGAAAACTGCACTTCATTTGGTAACTGAAACTTGTTTTTTGTTATTTACTTATTTTTATTGAAAAAAAAACAAAGACATATTTGATAACAATTTCTCTACAATTTTAATTTAAAAAACAAAATTAAATGTTCAAAATTTTTATGTTATATTTATGTTTAATATCTACCATGCATTTTATAAGTCAATAATGACAAAATATTGATTTTATTTATGTTTTGAAAAAAAAAACTAAAAATAGAAGCGGGAAACTTGATTTTGTCCTTTCTAAATTTTTACATGAAACGTTTATTAAAAATGAGAAGTGAGAAATATAAATAGTTAAGTGGGGTAGGGGATTCAAATTTACAACTTTAAACTTATGTTGGCAATTGAGAAAACAACCTTTCGATAGTTTTTTATGCTAATTTTTTATTATAGCAATTTTCCTTTACTCTGTTTATAATTTTTTATTGTAATATATATAAATATATATACCTAACTTTGTGCTTCTAGAATGAAAGTTTCAACAATAATCAAGGGAAGCTAAATAAGTAATTGCATTGTAAGTATTATAAGCAAGTATGCTTTAACAAGTCTTTGCTTTTTGTTGTGTGCTACAATTTTTTTAATCACTTTTAATTTTTCCATATATTTTGTTTGGGAGGAGAAATTTACACGTACAATTATAGTCAATAAAATTAGTAGTAGGCAAGCAATCTGCTTCAAGTTTGGATAACGTAACATCTTTGGACACGTGCTAGGTTTTGATAACAAATGCATTTTTCCTTACTAGTTCGCTGGAGTGCATTTTGAAAACAAAAATCTAAAAATAACGAATTCAATAAAAATCAGAGTCATATTTTATGTTTTCAGTATTTTTTAATCTGTATTTGGTAGCAGATTTATAAATCATTGAATCTCAATTTAAAAATTGTTCAAGTGGTGTTTAGTAATATATTTGTAAAGCAATGATACTTTAGTTCAGTCTAAAATATTATTAATTAATTAATATATATATATGTTATAGAGTTTGTATATAGTTATTATTTTACAATATTATTGAATTTATAATATATTATGTTTTATATATTTTAATTTTAATAAAAATGAAATAAAATAGTATATTTATTAAAGTTTTTATCTTTTTAAATGTAATTCCACATTTTAAAATTTCAAATTTAAAATATGAAAATACTGAAAACATAAAAATTTTGTTTTCACAATTTCTATCCTTTGGATCACGTAATCCAAAAACAGAATTTCAAATTTTCTACCAAACAAACCCTAAAATTTCTTCACTATATTTGAATGGCCTTTTAGTGGAGGGATACTCTATACCTAAACCTAGCATTAAAATTTTAATTAAGTCAAATTTCTTAATCTGCAATATTTTCACGGCCTACCGTTCAAAGTGACACGTAGACGTAGAAGAAGTACATGACACAAATATCTTTTTCTTTTTTAGTCGGAGATATCTACATTAGTAGTTGAGTGTTTATGTCGACACGAATCAAAAGAATTAAGTGGTACTTATATGTTGTTATTTAGTAAAGTTGATCGAGTAATATAATCGAAATGATTAATTAGGGTTCCAATCCAACTTTGAATGGGCAATGGGAACTAAAGATATGAAAAGTATGAAAAACGTACAACAGTGATGATGTATGGAAGTTAAATTGGGTGTGCGGAAATAGTGGGGAAATGGGAGCCATCGATGTCGACCAAATTCATGTACTTTGACAGCAATTTAGGAAGAAGACCAAAAGTTGGTCTTTGCCGCCATTAATGGCGGTGTCATTGACCTTCAAGCTTACTGTATTTTGGATTGTCGTGGCCATGGGAGCCTCCTCTTTGACCATGTCCAGCCTTTTTACACACCCCATTAACATACATACTTTGAATAGTGGTTGAGCTCTAATAATTAGGGCTAATATTTCATGTTGCTTTAATAATGATTTTAGCTTTAGTTTCCTGTAATTTTAAAATATATATTCACTTTTAGTTTATATTTTTATAGCTTGTTTAATCACAATCTCCTCTGACTATGCTTTATTTTCCACCTTTTTTTTTATTAATCGTGAATCCTCAACAAAATAAATAAGTTTTCAATTGTTTTTTTTTTCTTTTTAATTTAGTTAAGATTTTAAATTTATCTTTTAAAAATTGAATATCACACGACAAAGAGATTGTGAGTAAATTAAAGGTGAATGTAAAAACTAATTAAAAGTATAGTTTCGATCTTAAGTTTTAGTTTTTGTCTATAGGACACTTTGATCTTATATATTTTAAAATGGTGTACTTTTGGTAATCGAGAGTTTCTAAAATAGGTTTAAATTGTCCCTTAACTTATGTTACCGTTAGTTTTTTCTTGTGGAAAAGATGATTAGGTTGACATATATTCGAGTTGAAATATATCATTCATTTTGTGTAACTATTCACCTTGCTTTATGTCCATTGCGTATTGCAATCTAATAAATGGAGAACACGATTAGAAATCCTAACGCTTCCATATTGAATGTAGCATCGCGTTTCCCAAAACCCATGCAATTCATCAGCTAATCAAACAATTTTTCCAAAATTATATATGTTTTAAAACGTAAAACAAAGAAGTTAAAAGGAAAGTTGAAACACTTGGGCCATTATAGGCAAGTTTGATCAATAATTGAATTAAATTTTCAAATCAATATAAGGAGACGCATACTTTAAGCTAACCCGAATAGTTGAATTGGTTTAGATATCTATTTATGAACAAGAAGTTATGAGTTCAAATCTCAATTTCCACGTGTCTTTTTCCCTTTCTTTCTAAGAAAGAGATTAAATAGAGTATTAAACGATTGAACCTTGATAAAAAACATAAACAATTATTCAATTACCAATTTAACCTGGTTCATTAATTAACATCACCTAACAAAAGAGAGTAGTATCCTACGGGGGTCACAGAAGTCAAAGTCTTCAAATTTAATGCAACAAAATTGGAGAGGGAGAATTGAATCAAATTAAAAGTAGTTCCTTTTGACCTGCATTGCATTGAAACATCACATATTTAATTTAATTTATTTTAATGTACAGTCTGGTTCGTAACAACTATAAAACCCGGCCTCGTTGAAGCCCCAACTAAAGGAGTTCAGAAGCAGAGCATAACAAACCAAAGCTTTGATCCTGCTGTTTTAAAGCTTTGGCAAAATGGATTACTGTAGAAACCTTGCAATTATTGTGGCCATTTTCATGGCTCTCTCCCTCCAAACAGCACTCGGTACAAGCTTAATCAAAAACATATATATTGTTTAATTTGTATAGTAATTAAACATATTTTTGAGTTAAAAATTAATAAAGATAAAAAATGATTGCAGGGGAGTCAAGTGGAAGGGTAGAGTGCGAGTCATTGGAGAGAAGGGAGTGCGCGTTCGCGGTGTCGTGGTCGGGAAAACGCTGCGTTTTGGAGAAGCAGGTGAAGCGCAGCGGAGAAGAGGCGTTCACGTGCCGCACATCCGACATCGAAGCCGACCAATTAAACGACGTCGTTGAGACAGAGGACTGCGTCCAGAGCTGCGGCCTCGACAGGAACACGCTCGGCATCTCCTCCGATTCCCTCCTCGATCCTCGCTTCACCCGCACCCTCTGTTCCTCCCGCTGCTATAGCCGCTGCCCCAATGTCGTCGACCTCTTCTTCAACCTCGCCGCCGGTGAAGGTAACTTTTCCACTAAATCTTCTCTTTGCTATTATTAAAAATTTCACAATTCATTCGTTCAGAAAAAAAAATAATAATAAATTGGCAGGTGTGTTTCTTCCCAAGCTTTGTGAAGCTCAAGGAGGGAATGTGAGAAGAGAAATGTCGGAGATCAAAAGCTCCGGCATCGTTGCACCGGGGCCGATCCAGCCAGTCTCTCTGTCAATTGCCCCGGCAGTCGCACCGGGGCCGGTTCGGCCGGTGTTCCTGTCCACTGCGCCGGCAGTGGCTCCGGCCGTTCAGGGAGCTTGATGGTCTTTATTTATTCCAACACAAAAACAACAACACCACAATAATGGCTTGAGTTTTAGATAGTTTTAAATTTTAATACAGAAATATAAATTTCTATGTTTTTTTATAGCGTGAGCGTGTGGTGTATGGAAGAAGGCTAAAACTAAAAGAGCTCTATGTCTGTGTGATGTGTATGGCCTCTCCATACTATTTTTTCCTTTTTTTTTTGAGTATAGTGTTGCCTCTCCATACTACTGTGATGGGATTTAGATATATTATGAAATAAAAAATTAAAGTTATAAATATTGTTTAGATGTTTATATTGCTGCTTACCTCTGCATGATTATATATTTAACAATTAAGACAGAGGCAAAAATAAAGATAAAGATTTTTAAAATTCAAAATCACCCTAGTTTAACAGAATTACCCTAGTTTTTTTTTTTTCTGAAATTCAAAACCGCTCCCATCAAAAGGAAAAAAAATAAAAACTACCCATTTCTTTTTACTACTCCACCAAAAAGTCTCGCTAATGAGTAAGTTTTCTATTGTGAAATTTATGTAATGCCATATCCATAAAACAAATGATTAAGACATTTATTACAGATTAGAATGTCGTGAATTTGAATTACTGTAAAAAGAATATCATTTGATAGAATGGACTCCGATTAAATTCTCCTATTATAAAGTTTGTTTGTAACGTTGACAGACTGGACTGCCAAAAGATCACACCGTTCAAATTCAATTGGATCAGGATTTGTATTTGGGCCTTGAGTTATTGATCAGCCCAATTAGAATAACAAGAAAACGACATGTAGGCCACATACTGAAGACTACATGTAGTTTATATCCATTCGCTTCGCCGTGTTTACTTCGAATTAACCTTGCCGTCACTCCGTTCCTTGGATGTAGAAGCACGAAAATTCCTCAGAATCTCTTCGGATATCGCCGGAGCCGTCACCTTCCGATCGTGCGGTACCGTTTTCCCGGTGAATATGGTGAGCCAGAGGCAAAAACTTGCTCGGAAAAAGTACAAAGAGGCACACCCAGAACTGTTCCCGAAAGCAGAGCCAACGCCACCAAAAGACCCGGAGAAGAAGAAGAAAAAGAAGAGTAAATTTAAGCGCAACAAGGCAGAATCGAAAGACCCAAATAAACCCTTCAAAAAGGGTTTTAAGAAACACCCTCTTAGAGTGCCCGGGATGAAGCCGGGAGAAAGCTGCTTCATCTGCAAAGCCAAAGACCACATTGCCAAGCTCTGCCCAGAAAAGGCTCAATGGGAGAAGAACAAGGTTTTTCTTTTTTTGCAACTTTTTCAATTATGTTATGTTTTCCATGTTTATGGGTGTTTCACTTTTCCCTTAGTTTACTGGAAATTTTGCTCATAGGAAATAGTTCTCTTTGGAAGCGTATGCCTATTACTTTTAGGAATGTGGTGTTCATGGAAATGGTTTAAGATTCAATTTGCCTCTCCAATGTGTGGTAAACTTCTTAACTCAATTGCCTGTGCTTAGGCTTCTTCCATCAATCATGGTCATTTTATAATTGATTGTTAGAGGTCTTGGGGTGGTCAAGATGAACACTAATATTACTTGGAAAAATTCTGTGATGACAACATTTTGGCAAACTGGAAGGATTGAAATCGGAGAATTTTAAGACAAAAATGGTGATATGGGATGGCCCAGTGGTCAATAAGGGCCATTGTAAATAGCATAGGGCTCAGAGGGAATGAGTTCAAACCATGGTGGTCACCTACCTAAGATTTAATAACCTACGAGTTACCTTGTCAACCAAATGTAGTAAGGTTAGACGGTTGACCCGTGATTAGTCGAGGTGCGCGCAAGCTGGCCGGGGCACACGGAAATTAAAAAAAAAGAAAAAAATGGTGATATGGACTGCCTTCAAAGTGAGATTCACTTTGTGGTGGTTCTCAACAGAGGATTTTAAAATCTTCTTATACTGTGGTGGGCGTCGTTTGCTCTTCTTTATCCTTTCTTTTATTCTTCTTTTGCTTCTTGCACTGTTCAATTCCCCTTGAGTACATTTCAACGACCAGTCCTTCTTCCTTTATACCTTTTAATAGAACTGAAGGTTATTTCTGTTGATAACTCAAGATAATTGGATTTCAATTCTATCTTGGTTTAGTTTATCGATATTTCATAAGTTGAGGAAAACTTATTTTTTGTTTTGAGTTATATCATGTGGCTTTTGCCTTTGGAAGTTACTGCCTCTACTGGAAATTAATCTCAAATTGTTTTATAATAGTGTCATTTTGAAGGGAGCCTTATGTCTGGTAATTCTATTTCTGTTATTCAACGTTTATAGATATGCTTGCTTTGTCGGAGACGCGGGCACAGCCTCAAGAATTGCCCGGACAAAAGTGAAGGGACAGAGGATAAGAAGTTATGCTACAACTGTGGTCAAACAGGACATTCGCTGGCTAATTGTCCACAACCTCTTCAAGATGGTAAATTTTGTTTCAATTCAAACTTGACTTGTCTGTGCTTTGTATAATATATAGAATAGTTTCTTTGGGTTCTCTTGTTTTGTTGATCTCATTATAGTAGGGTTAATTCCTTGTGGCATTTGTATTTCAAAATCAAGTGCCTGATTTTCATATGAAGTGGAGTGTTCTTGCAACATAGATGCTCTGAAGTTCTTAAAGGTTTCTACTCCAAATTATATTTACCAGTTTCCCTCTTCGAACTGTAGGAGGAACTAAATTCGCCAATTGTTTTATTTGTAATGAAAGCGGACACTTGAGCAAGAACTGCCCGAAGAATACTCATGGTATCTACCCTAAGGTATTTGGTTTAACTTCCTTGTCGTGTTCACGGACAATGGACCACGAACGACTTTAAGATTTTCCTTGTATGGTATTCTGCAGGGTGGTTGTTGTAAAACTTGTGGAGAAGTTACACATTTAGCTAAAGATTGTCCAAACAAAGGCACCAGAGTTTCTGCTGCGGCTGGTATATCGGGTAACAGATGTAAGTGTTCCTGTTTTTGTCTTTTCTTTAGGTTCTCAACTTTTTCTTTTCCCCATTGTTTCAGTTTTTGTGTGTGTTGTTGTGACATGTTTGTTGATACAAACAATCTAGAAATATAAATATTGGCAAAAATCAAATGTCGTAATCTCTTCATATATTGTTTTTAGTATCATTGGGATATTTACTTCCTTATTTCTTCATATATTGTTAATTGGGTCCAGTAAAAAATGCTATTGGAGAACATTTTTTTCTTCAAAATTACTCCTAAATCATTCTCTCTAAAATGATTTCGTGGGCTGAAAGGAGATAATTGGGAATGAGAAACCAACTTCTTTGGATCGATACATTTCTACTAAAGCTTTCTATTACAGTGTCTGCAAAAGCATGAACGAAACGTACTTTTATGAGTTATAAGTCATTTTCTCTTGTCTCAGCATCTGGATACATGGAAATGCCGAGACGACCGGCAACGAGGCTCGTGAGTGGAGACGATCTTGAGGACGACTTTATGATCGATGAAGATCATTTGCAGATCAATGATGCAAAACCAGGAAAGAAAAAGGGACCCAAAGTTGTGAAGTTCTTGGATTAACAACTCTATATAAGAAACTTGTTGTCATCATGTATTGTTGTAAAGACCCTTCAACACACGAGGGAATACTGGGGGCAGCTTTAGAAGTTAGAACATCACCCATCTAAAAAGTAGTTTTCTAATAGTATTTTTGTCTCTTGAAAGTTCATTTTTTAAAATTATGATTATAGAGTTTTGCCATGTTCAAGTTCAACCCTATTGCATTAGGGTACTGTCTAAAAAGGGAATGTTAGGCTCGTTTATTTAGAGGACGTATAGAAAATATGTAATTTTCTTGATGAGTTATTTGAATGAGTCATTATAATTTATTGTTTACTTGTTCGCTTCGGAGAGAAACAAACATCTATTCCTCAAGATATAAAAACATGAAACAAAAATGTTCATTACGTCTTTAATAAAGAACCTAGGAACCCCTTTAACAATAAATGTGACAAATATGCCATTCACATGACTAAGAATGCTAAATATTCCTACTTTTGAATTAAGATCACAAAGCTAAAAACATACAAAAAAAAGGGGTAAATTAAATAGCAAAGCTTTTTATTTTTTCAGTTTTTTTTTTTTGGGGCAAAGCGAAATGGTTGATTGGAAGGTAGTATAAAAGGGGATTTAGAAGAGAAAAAAGAGGAAGGAAGAAGGCTGTTGTTTTTAGTATTATGAAACGTGGCATGGCAAATGTGGTTGCAGAGTAGTTTTGTCCCTAAAATTTCTCCTCTTCTCCCCTTTATTCTCATCCCTCTCCCCAAAAATAAGGATCTCTCCCTCTTACCTTTTCATCTCTCTCATTTCTCCTCTTCTCTCTTTTCTTTCATCCTTCTCCATTTTCCCTACAACCCCATCTCTCTCACTCCTTTGTCTCTCACACATTGTCTCTCACAACATGGTATTCATCTCTCTCTCTTTTTCCTTCTTGTTATTTGTAATATTCTTCGGTTGCTATGTCAATAATTGTAATTGGTTTAGACGAATGATGAAAGTTGATAGGTTCTTTACCTCCTTAATGGGTAAAGTTTCATTTTTCATTATATGTATTTTGAATATGTCGAGATCAGAGATACTATTAGGCATGGCTGAAATTTGTGAAAAAATGGATTGATGCTTGTTGTGTTTAATGGGGTGAATTAGGCGAACTCGGCATCTGGAATGGCTGTGAGGGACGAATGCAAGCTCAAGTTTATGGAACTGAAAGCGAAGAGGAACTATCGGTTCATTATATTCAAGATTGAGAATCAGGAAGTTGTTGTGGAGAAACTTGGAAGCCCCGAAGAAACTTATGAAGATTTCACTGCAGCTATCCCTCCCGATGAATGTCGCTATGCTGTGTTTGACTTTGATTTCACTACTGATGAGAATTGCCAGAAGAGCAAGATTTTCTTCATAGCATGGTAACTTTTCTTTTTCACACACATCCACATTGCATTTCGAGTGATTACCTTATATTCTAAATTAACACAAATAGAATTGTTGACCCAATTAACTGTACATACGATTTAGCCATTCATTTACCACAATTATGTATTATTATAATATAGAAAGACATTTGTGATATCGATTGCAATCCAAAACAATATATTGCCCAAAACACCATTGTCTTCATTGACTCTAGGGGTTGTAAGGAGAGCATTTCAACATACTTTGGTAAAATTTCAACTTCTCTGTCAAATTTGTTACATGAAACCTTAAACTTCAACAGCACTATGAACTGAGGTTGTCTCCTTGTCCTATATTTCTGTGTTTGTCTCTTTTGAAGGTCACCCGACACATCGAGAGTGAGAAACAAGATGGTGTATGCGAGCTCTAAGGACAGATTCAAGAGGGAATTGGATGGAATTCAGGTGGAGTTGCAGGCCACAGATCCTAGTGAAATGAGCTTCGACATAATCAAAGCCAGAGCTTTTTGAGCTCATTTTCATCTCTCTCTCTCTCTATTTTTCTCTGTCTTCATTCTTGAGACTTGGCATAATGTTGTGATGCCACTCTGATTTTCTTCTTTTCTTTTTGTATGTTTTTGTCTTTTTCAGAGTCTTGTTTCTGCTTCATGGGGTTTTATTGAGCTCTAAAGCTGTAATGATCTATTGTAATTCTATATAAAATTATTCTTTCACATGATTCGTAACTCTTTGTTTTTCATGTTTCTAAATGAACCAGAATGGAAAGATTTAATTTGAACAACTTGAAGAGGAAAACATGTTAAGAGAAGAACACCCAAATGAGTTTTTGTATGATATGATCATCATTGATCGAACTTTTTTGTATTGAAATTCTGATGGAAGAAGATGAAAGAAAATGGCATGTGTTTCAAATGTAACGAATACCTGTTTAAGGAGGAAGAACAGGGGAGGGGTCTCTATGGCTGCTTGCTTCGGCCATCCCAGAAAGATTTCTCCCATTTTTCTACTTGTTTGATTGAATTCACTTTTCTACTAAGAACAAAATGAAGCGATGCAGGATCATACGGGGGTGGCATTGTGCATGGGCTCGCATCTGCAGGGCTTTTCACCAATGATTCCATCATGAATTTTCGAGTTAACCCTTCAGCTGGACAAGCCATTGCCTCCGAACATAGCTCGGTCGCACCTCGCGGTATCATTGGCTTGAAAATTAGAAGTTTAGAATATTCACTTAGAAGATGAAACATGTAGTCATACACATAGTCCATCTTCAGCTCCTCTTGGATGAAACTGCTTGCTGCCTTGCCAATGGCCTGCGCCTGAGAAACCACGAAAAGTAGATAATCTCATACCCGAAACCCAAACGTACATCAACATGATTCAAACCATAAGTTTATACCAATATACACCGAATAACCAGTTCAGCTAACTATAGAATAACCTTTTGCTTATGGCTGTTGCCCCACTCAACTGCAAATTTTATAGACTTGCACTTGTCGTCTTCCTTTACGGGCCAGTAGTGGTGCACCGGCATCAAACCTCTCGTGAAGAAGTCGTAGTAACGGGGCTTGACGATAAAGGTAACAGAATCGCAAGCAAGAATGTACTTTTCACTAACGGACCAAGCTGATCCTTCTATATAGATTTTGTACCTGAAAATGAGCGTAAACAGGGGAAACAGAGTTGGGTGAGAGATTAGCTAATGTTGGAATGAACAAGGGAAGTTATTCAAATTGTACCTATGAAGACATTGGTTTGCAAGATCTGATTCATTGTATCCTTGCTGGGATTCTTTCATCCAATCCTGAAAATTGTTTTCCCAAGCATTATAAGAATTTCTACCCAACATCTTTTGCAGTTTACGAGCACGAGATCCACTCGCTTTCGAGTTCTGTTTCGTTTTCGAGTTCTTTCATCTAGGCATTGTTTTAATGAATTGTCAAGTGGCTTATATTCGACGGGGTTCAAACGTAAGCCAATTATACCTGAGCGAATACACGGGCATTCCAGTCTTGTTGGTCGGAGACATTGCATTTGAGGAGATCTTGTCGGGTTTTGGCCACGGCTGGATTTCCCTTCCAATAAGCATAAGGCTCTCTCCTCTTCCATGGGATCCTTTTGTTCCCTTCTTTCAGATCCTTCAACAATTGCTCCCATGGCTTTATATTGATCTCTGGCCTGTAAAAGGCCACCACATATTAAATCATTAGAGTCATTCAAAAGCATTGTATTGGCTTGCATGAGGGCTGCTGCCAGACCCAAAACATGATATTGGAAACGAAATGACTAAGAACTACCTATTAGTTCATCTTCATCCTCTACTTTCAAAACATTGATTTTGGTCAATGGTGTTTATTTGCAAAATTTTGACACAATTTTGACATAGTATGAGTACAAATTTGTAGCTATATTAGAATTATGACAGAAGGAAATAAAATAAAAATGAAATTAAAAAGACCAAGACAGTTATTCACAAACACAACGAACAAAATGCAAAATACAGAGACAAAAATATAAGTGAAACCTATATTACCAATTCATTCAAAAGTTTAAACCCTATTTATTTTCTAATAAAAATTAAAGGGAAAAATCGAAAGTGAAAGATGAGTGGTTACCATCCCCAGAAGGACCAATCAGGAAAAACAATGTCCAGCGTGGCATCATCAGCACAATAGCGAAACACAGGAGGAGGGGGCGGCCCATTAGGCCCACTAAAGTGGCGGGTCAAAATCACGGGCCAGTCAACGCAATCAAACATGAGCTCCAGATCAGGCACCTTCCCGGGGTACCTCCGTAACAACTGTAGGATCCCCCACACCGTAAAACTATCTCTCGTCTGAAACGACTTCTCAAAACTCTCCACGTAAGCCTTCCCCTTCACGATCACCAGCCGGAAATTCGCCGTCCGTTTCGCCGCCTCCACCGCCGCCCTCGTGATCCCCGTGCGGGCCCACGGCCGCAGGTCCTCGTGGATCCAACGGAAGTACTCCGGACACGTGGCCCCCGCTCCACGGTCCGGATCTTCCTCGCCTGTCCAATCCGCCGGGTAGCAGGCGGGGCATGCTCCTCCTGTGACTGTGAGGTTATTGAAGGACGCGCAATCGAGTGCAAATTCGACTTGTCGTCTTCTTGGCTTTTTCGGAATTTCGGAAGTGTTGTTGGGGTAAAAATGAGATTTCGTACCTTCTTTTATTCTGCTCCGAGACAAATTACCTGCTACCGTCTGAAAAAAAAAATTCAACGATTTTCTGTAAATTCGTTGCCGACAGATTTAACGATATTCCTCATTTCTCGGAAAATTAGAGAAAGTGAAAAACGCTGTTGGCTTTAGTAGTAATTTTAAAAATAAAAAATCTATTCGCTTCGAATTCGAAATCGAAATATATATATATATATATACATATATGTGTGGAACTAGTTTCAAAATTCAAAGCGATAGAAAGAAAATGGATTATTTTTCTGTCGAACTTTCAGCTTTTCAGCATAGTTCTAGTTCCGGATAAAAACAATATTTTTGTCTCTTTTTTTTTTTTTATGAAAAATTATAGGCATGATAAAAGAATCTTTTTAGAATAAATTAGAAATGATAATAAGAATCGAAAAAATTTGTTTGGGTTGTTTTCGAAATACACAGCTGCCAAACGAGTAACTTTTTTTAGTATCAATCTTATTCTTTAAATTTAAAAAGAAAAGCTTACTAGTTTTATTTTGATTAGATTACTTTTTTTGGGTGTTATTAATTTGCAAGAGTTTATGGACTTTTTGATAATTTTGAAAGATGTAGAGATTAAAATGAAAACAAGTATGAGAATCGAGAGACCAAAATAAATGATATTTTAAAAGAAAGTGTTAAGTTTTCAGGAAGAGAGTGGGACCCAGAAGCACGTGGCAAAATGTAAATAAGGGAGAAACACGCGTCCAAAAAGTAGACACACTTTTTCTTCCTCAAAATCGTAGAACCGACAGAGCGGCCACTCCCTGGTTAGAAACGACACGATCGACCCGACACCTCGGTTTAGTTGGAAAACACGAACAGCATAAGTTAAAATTAAAATTAAAATTAAAGAAGAAAATGAAAGCTAAGACTTACGGTGGAATAATGGAGGAGGCGCGTGGAGAGGAACGCGCCGAGGAGGAGGAAGAGAGAGAAGAAGAAGAGGAGAGAGGATCTAGCCGGAGACTTGAGAAGCGGCCTCAAGAGACGATGGTGATTAGAGTCCCATGAAATTGAAAACCTCTGCTGGAAACTCATTTTCCTTACTCTTCACGCCCACATTCCGGCGCTGCCGCTTCCGGCGAACGGAGATAGAGAGATCTCAAGGCCGAGGCTTTTGTTTTGTGTGATGGAGAAGTTTCGCAATGGCAAAACTTGTTGATGTTGAGGACTGTAATTTCCTTATTGTTTTGTTTGATCGATGGGAAATTTGGAGGGGTTTTATGAAAGCAAAATAGTTGGTTGGTTTCTTTGAAAAAAGAGGTGCAACTCGTGAGAGTGAGAGTGAGAGCGAGAGCGAGAGCGAGAGTGGGTCCAAACTAAATAAATCGTAAACACCACGGAAATTTGATAACTTGTTTGCCAACATTTTCGTTTTCTCATTTCTAATAAAAAAAGAAAAAAAAATCATGCCTCTTAACCCACGTAAACTTAAAAGTAATAAAATAAAATATCATGGCTCTCAATTTTGAAAATGTTATTAAAAAGTAAAAAATAAGAAACATAAATCATTTACAAAACAAGTAACCAAAATGCCACCAAGCAAGTCTCAATGTAAGAGGAAGAAAAGATAGGAGGGTTTTCATTAAGAAATCATGTGACTTAAAAAAAATTTATACAAACATAATAAATATCAATTTCGTATTTTTATTTTTATTAATGAAATAAAAATACTTATTAATTTATATGTGACTTGAAATATTGACATATCAACCGATATTTATTGTGAAATTCAAATATCAAGTAGTCACTTAATATTCGTAGCTGTTACTTAACATTAATGGTTGGTTTTGTATAATTAATTACTTAATTAATTGATTGGTTTTGTATAATTAATTACTCAATTAATTGAGATCGAGTATAGTTCAGCGATAATTGATATATATTTTCAATCAAGAGGTTGTGGGTTCGACACCCCACAGCACATGTTAAAAAAAAAAATTAATTAATTGAAAAAGAAAAGTGAAATGAGTTTGTAAATTAAGAATCTAATTAATCAAGAGAGTTGAAAGTGTATTGTAATATGAATAGTTGTTTTTACAATTAATAACTCAATTAATTAAAAGACTTAAATGATTAATAGTTATTAATATTAATCACACAATTTAATGATAGAGTTGAAAGAGCTTCATAATATCAATAACGGAAGAATACTATGATACAAGTTTTTTTTCCCACATTTGTTTTAAGTTAAATTATTTATGCTTTCTTTGAAAGTTTTAAAAGTATAGAAATCCTAACCTAAGAAAAAGGGAGTATATATGTTAAACTAATCTGAACAGTTAAAACATATATTTTCAATTAAAAGATTAAGAGAGTGTCCTCCCCCAAAAGCATAGCCCTCTGAATTTTGTGTTTGAGCAGCTGTGTCATTTCTCATCACATGGCTCAGCCACTTTCCTTTTCATCTTCATCTCCAAACTTTCACTTCCTTCTCCTCTTCTCACTCCTCTTCTTCACTCTCTTTCTTTGGAGTTTAGCAGAAGAAAGTATGGAAGATTCAAACAATAGCTAGGTGATCACAAATCAAAGAAGAAAGCCATAGAAACAGCTGCAGACATCTTTGGTATCTAAGCCTTTTTTGGTTTCTATTTCTATTAATTAGATTTGGGAATTCTAAAAGGGGTGTGATTTTGACCAACAGGGGTTGACTCCATTGCAGCTCATCTGAAGAAGCAGACAGTAACAGTAACAGTAGCAGTATCAATGGATGCAGTTGTATTGGTGAAGGAAGATGAACAAAGTTGGCGAAGTTGAGATTCGTTCACTTGGTCCAGCCAATGAGAAGGATGAAAACAGATAACAGAACAAAGAATCTAAGATGATAAAACATGACTTGTATCAGAATAAGAATAAAAGGAGAACATAAGATTGCCATTTTGATGCTAATGAGAATCAATGTAGAGCACAAAGAGATGCCGATTTATAAAGAAGACAAAGGATCACAGCAGAAAAAAACTATTTGTTACATGAAGTTCGTTCCTACCTATAAATTATAACCATGTTTTACCATTAACAAGCAGCGATATTTCCGTGCCGTCCAAATGTCCTATTCGTAAAAGAATAAACTTGAAACATTCTAAGACTAAAATGATTAGGAAGAGAACTTCAGAAACAGAAATGAATCCACAAAGTAAAAAGAGGTTAGAATAATAGTCACCGCTATTAATTGATATCTGGAAACCATGGACAAACTGGCTCTTGAACTTCTCATCTAGTTATTAATTAATAATCTCCAATTACAAAGATTCATCCTACTGATCTAGCATCTCCTATATCCCTTGAATTTTGTCACTAAATGGGCAAATTGCCCCTTCTCAACCACATGCTTTATAACTTTATGAGCCTCGGAAAGCTTTCCAGCATTTCGCAAATAACTTACAAGGGTACTATATACAAGAAAATTTGGATTGCAACCTCGGGATTCCATTTCTGCAAGCATAGCGTAAGCCTCCTCGAATTCACCCGCCATACAAAAACCACGAATCATGGAGTTGTATGTAAATACATTGGGGAGCTGGCCCTTTATTATCATTTCATCAAAAAGTTGGCGAGCTTTCTCATGCTCCCCAGCCACTGTATAGCTTGTGATCATCACAGTGTAGCAAACAACGTCAGGAATGTTGCCGTTGTTAGCCAGTTCATCGAAAAAATATCTGCAAGCATCCAAATTACCAGCCCGACTAAGTCCATCTATCAGCGTTGTGAAGTGAAGAACGCCCGGATCGAAACCCACTTCCCTCATGTGGTTCAAAAGATTTAGAGCTGCAAGAGGTTTGTCTCCTTTGGCAAGAACATAAAGAAGAATGTTATAGGTATGATAATCAGGAGAAAACCCATTCCTGCCCATTTCATCTAGCAATCTGTGGAACTGATCCAATTTCCCCAGTTTGCACTTTGTAAACAATAGCACATTATATGTCAGAATGTCTGAGGTGTGACCATCCAGCAGCATTTGCTGATACACCCATTCAATCAGCTTGTACTGTCTTATAACAAGAAGTCCATGGAGAATGGCATTATAAGCGTGTTTAAATGGCCTGTAATTGAATGTTTTTGATTTGATAAACCTCTCAACAACTTTCCTAGCCAAACCTGCATCACCACAAGTACATATCAATATGATAAATGTCCTTGCGGTAACAGGGTACCCTTTCTCGGTCATCTCATCGACTAATCTCCACATAGCCTTGAACTCCTCACATTGAGCAAATATCTTCATGATAATATGATATGAGCTTGCAGTGTGTCTGTAATTCTCGACCTTACCCGACCACACGAAAAACTTGTACCCCAATTTTGCACACTGGGTTTTGTCTACAAAATTTATACTTCTCAAAATCCGCATCAGAACTTCCCTAACAAGAAATCCTGAGACCTTTATTTGCAGTTCATCCAAAGCCAAAATGGTGTCAAATCCAGGACCATCCTGTTTGAGAACCTCAAGAACCTTTTCAGCATCAGATCTCGCATCCTCAAGAAAACCCCTTCTCACAGAGAAATCATCCCATCTACGACCCCCAAACTCAGAAGAATCTGAATTTTCATCCGTAAAGCAACCCAACTCTGACCTCTTGCACACCCTCTTAAAGGGCTCCACAACGCACTCAAATCCATCATCACTACTAAAACTCCGATTCCAAACTGTTAGACGCACAATAAAAGAAGTTGAAAATCTGCAGACTATCCGCGAACTCAGAAGCGATATAGAGTTCATGATTGATACCCATTATCGCTAAAGATCCGCAGGACTTAGGGAAATCAAGTAATCTAAAAACAGAGCGAAAATGGCCAAGTGGGCAAGTGCCGAATCGTCTGTTTTCCCAAATTGGGAGCCACCCATTTAACATGAACACCAATCTTGCAATAGGTTACGAATCCAACCCAAAATTCTCATTTGGTGCATAATATGCCTCTTGAATTTGAATGCAGCATTAGAAAATTTAAAGTTCGAAAAAGACTTATCTGGGATTTTGCGATTCGGTAGAGATCTTCGGAGTTGAAACAAGCTCGAAGTTCCTTCTTTCGGGTTGCCGCTATTAAGTTAGGATTGTAGATGAGCTGAAGAGAGAGTGAGAGAGGAGAAGAATTCCTAGGGTAACATGAACACAAGCTCAAAGCAGTTCAAGGCGACTGTCGTTTCCCCACCCAATTCCTTCGCTTCCCACCACTCGACATGTCGATAATAAATTTATTATAAAAATATTTGAATAAAATTAAAACCAAATGAAATTTTATTATCTTCCTTCTCCTTTCCATTTTTGAATAAATATATTTGAAACATAAGTAGCTTTTATTTGATTTTTTTTATAATAATTTGTATTCATAAAGTATTTTTTTAAATATGAGTGAATTGAAAAAATACAGCGGGTGTCATTGATAAACTCTTTTATGAATTAATTTTGTTAAAAATTAAAATGTTAAGATAGATTAAGAATTCTTCTCATTACAAAAAAAAAAAATAATAATAATAATAATAAAAATAAAATTATAATTGGTGTAGATGGGCGATCCAGTGGGATTTAAGCCTTAAAAAATCTAGGAGATTTAATTCATTAACTAAATCGCAATGAATATAGAGATATGATGCATTTTATCTTTTAATTTAAAAATAATATAAAAATAGCTTATAAAATAAAATCTATTTATTATGGGAAGAGAAAAAATAAATTAAATAAATGCAATGAAATAAAAGCAATCTTTTTCGTTTTTGATATTGCGATGAAAATATAAATTGACTTTTGAAATTAATTTTAGATATAAGGGGTTTGAAGCTGATTAGAATCTAAATCAAATAGTATGATTTTAGGCTACTAATCAAAATTATTAAAAAAATAAAAAGAAGGAAAATGTTAAGGAAAAAAAAAGATAATTAGCATCTCATATATAAACTAAAATAAATGAAGGGAAACCCCTTCAAATTATTGGCATGGAATAGAGTTAAATCTAAAATTGTGTTAGGTATGCTGAAAATGAATTTACTATAAACTTAATGTTTTTCAAATACATAATCTAATGCTTTTAATTATATATGAATTTAACACCATAATCCTCTAAATATTTCCATTATAAATAGATAGCACAAAGTTTCCATTTTTGCAGGAAAAAAATCTAGAGAGAGTTATCAAAGGGCACTAAGATTTCTTTTGTGATTTGTTATATCATCACACAATGGGTAAGTTTTTTTTCTTATATAAAAAATTATTTTTTAAGACTTTTAGATATATGAATATTTGAAGAGATCATTTCTTCGTTTGGATTAACTCGTGTTATTAGTATTCTCTCTTTCTCAATCTAACTCTTTCATATACATTATCGAATTATCTTTGTAACCATTTATTTAAGATTTTCTACTATTAAAAATGAATATCCTTTTTTACAACTTCATCACGTCAATTCAATATGAGCCATGTATTTTCTAATTTCAAAATATTTTAGGTTAAAATACTATTTTAGTCTCTGTATTTCAAAATGTTCATTTTAGTCCAAATGTTTTTTTTAATGACTACTTTTTATCCTTGTTTGTAAAATGTTAACATAAATTCTACACCTAACGGAAATTCTTTAATATAAAATTGTAGTTACATTTCAAGAAATACCGAAGTTCTACTAATTACAAATTCTACTGTTTTTTCTTAGATAAGTTTATTTTAAACTTTTATATGATTATTGATTTGAATTAAGAACTATAGATCTATTTATGTAATTCAAAATAAAATTTAGAAATTATGTTCAAAATGCTAGGGAAAGGAGTTAAGGAGCTCGAGAAAATTGAGGTAAAAATCAAAGCTTGGGAAGATAAACAAAAAAGCAAAGCGGATAGCAAGTCAGTTCTCTCTCTACTACCTATATTTAATATTATCTTTATTGTAATCTCGATATTATTTACGATGAAATTTGGTATAATTACAAAAGTTTAATTTTTCTCAAAAAAAAAAAAAATTACAGAAGTTTAATCTCTGTAATTGGATATTTTTTAAAAATGTTTTTTTTATTAAACTTATTTAAAAAATATATCACCTACCAAACAATTTTCAAAAATAATATTTGGAAAATAGTCGGTCGTCTTGACGACCTACAGATGTGGAGCTCGATCGGCGCCACGTCTAATTTTTTGAAAAAATTAAAATAGGTAGAGACGACCAACTAGACATGCTTATTATTGATTTTCTCTTCAAGAGACGACAATGTTGCTTTAAAAAAAAAAAAGAAAAAATATAATTAGAGTATATCATATAGAGTAGCAGAATTTTGAGATTAAAATACTATGGCATATATAGTAGACAAATCACAAACCATCATCCCCCAGAGGATGCGTTTGAATCTCATTAATGGCAGAAATTGTTTTACATTCTAATTTCTTTTTTCTTTTTTAATTTTAGAAATAATCAACTTTTTTTTTAAGAAATATAGTCAACTTCCCACTCCTACTTCTCCTTCTCATTATTTTTATTCATTTAATATATATATATATATATATATATAATAGAAAATTATAATAATTATAATTATACTTATTATTATTATTATTATTAACTATTATTTTTTATTCATTTTAAAAATATAATTTATTATATATATAGAATTATAATAATAATAATTATATATATGCTTATAATTAATATTATTTTTTATTTTTAAACAAATAATAATAATAATAATAATAATAATAAAAAATAATCTTCTTCTAAAAAAATCTTGTTTTAAACTTTCTACAAATAATAATAATAATAAACTAAAAACAAATGATTATTAATAATAATTTATTAAAATATTAGTAGTTGGTATATACCTCGAACCAAGAGGCTGTCACTTCGAATCAGGCCTGCATGAATACCACGCTGGGCATCTCCCATTGCGCCAAAACTTAATTTTGATATATAAACACTTTTGGTGTTATATATAATACTAACTATTATTATTACCATTTTTCAAAAACAACGTTGTCGTCTCTTATAGAGACCAAGGAAAAACATGTTTAGTTGAGAGATGACACGTTTTAATTTTTTCAAAAAAGCAAACGTGACGCTCGATTGGTGACGCTTGAAGAGACAACCTGCCGCCTATTCATAGATCGTCTCTTCAAGAGACGACTAACTATTTTAACTATTTTTCAAATATTATTTTTGAAAATCATTTGATAGGTGATATATTTTTGGAATAAGTTTAATAGAAAACATTATTAAAAAAAACCTCTATAATTATGGTAATGAATAATTATAAATTTGTGAGAATATATAATATTCGTACAAATAATATTCTACACTCCATCATGATTTTTAAAAACTATTCTGTGAATGTCTATATCTGGATAAAGTTCAATTAATCAAAATATTAGTAATTTTTTTCTTTTCACAAGTTCAAATTCTTACCTGGTACCTGCAAGAAAAAATTATTTTCAAAAAATTATTTTACATGTTAAAAAAAATCATTTTGCACATATGATGAGGCAAAATCTATAACAATTAAAAGATTCTTCTAAATATGAGTATTGTCCTTAATTATTCATATAATTAATTATTCATATACTCAATCATGAATGATACCGTTATCAACTAGTTATTTTTATTGTTATCAATCTACATAGAGAAAACTTTTACATTATAATTAGAAAGATAATAAAATATTCCACGAGAAAAACTAGAAATGAATAATTCTCTTTTTAATTATAAAAATTAACTCTTTGAATGATTGATCAGAGCTGAACGAAAGATAGCTTCCACTGAAGTATGGGAGAGTTCAAAGCAAGCTGTTTCGGAAGCTAAAGTCAAGAAGATTGAGGTTTTTTTTTTCTTTTTTCTTTTTACGGGTGTGCTTTAATTTTCATTTGATAATAAGTTTTAAAAACTCTAAAATAAAATTCATATGGGAAACTAAAGGCTGAAATGGAGAAGATGAAGCTGAAGGAGATTGAGAAGGTAAAAAACAAAGAGGCAGAGGCACATATAAGAGCAGAATCAAAGAAAGCAAACATTGAGGTTGAGAGAAAGCATCAAATACAGAAAGTTGAGGAGAAAGCTGCTAAGCATCGCTCTACCAATACAGTTCCATCCAAGTGCTTTGGTATTTTCAAAGACTAGTTGCTCTACCATTGTTGTACAATGTATTGACACTACTTGTATTTAGTTATAATACTAAAAAATTCGATATATATAATTGCTATGTAACTGTTAACTTTAAAAAATTTTAAGTAATACTCTCAATTACTTTGGATAATATTTTTTTTTAATTATCGATATAGGATGATAACATGTTCATTAATTTATATTAGAGAGAAAGATAAGCAGAAAGATAAAAAGATTATGTTAAAAAGATAAATATATAAGTTAAAGAAAGGTAATATATACGGTGATATATGCATCTTTTGAGTAAAATTTTGGAAATGAGACGCCTATTCTAATCGTTTTTTAATAAGAAGGTGTCACATTTTAAAAAATGCATGTCAAAATTTTATTCTTCAAAATTGAAACGTTAAGAACATAGAGGACCGTAAAATGAAATAGCAATAATATATTGTCTCCTTTTTGCAAAAAAGAACGTTCTTTTTTAAGTTTTGAAATTTAACTAAAACTTCCAAGAACACTTTTAAGAAATAAAAAAAAATAGTTGTAAAAATATCTCTTTCAAGTGACGATGACTCTTAAAAGGAAAAGGTTACATTACAGGTTGGAATCTTTAAGAAGATTGAAGATTTTCTTTATTTGATAATATTATATATCATATTTAAATTAATTTAATATCTCCGTTATATAGAGATAGAAATATATCTTATTAGATGTTTAATTAATTTATTTAATACTGAGTATAGTTCACCAGTTAAGACAATCTGACTTCTTTTCTAGAAGTTGAAGGATCAATCCCTCGTTCAAAAATTATTTTAATAATAAAAAAATACAATATGGGTTAAAAGATTCACTATTATTAAAAAAAATTTTACCAAATAATGATTTTAAAAAGAATTCTATATACCAAATGAACTAATTTAAATGAATGAATAGATTGATCTTTCTATTAAAAATTAGTAACTGTTGAAATTCAAAGGTGGTTTTGTACTCTTAAAAAGCCATCATTTTGGTTATTATTTGTAAATTTTTAACACAAATTCTATATTGAATGTGGTGTAATGTTAAAATTGTATAGAAA